AGTTGCATATCAATTGTGGACTGAATAAAGAAAATGTGGTACGTATACACAATGGAATACTACACAGCCATAAGAAAGAAAATCGTGTCCTTTACAGCAACATGGCTGCAGTTGGGGGCCATTATCCTAAGTGAATTAACACAGAAACAGAAAACCAAATACCGTATGTTCTCACTTATAAGTGAGAGCCAAACATTGGGTACATATGGACCCAAAGATGAGAACAATAAACAGTGGGGATTCCAAAAATGGGGAGGGAGGGTGGTGAGGGCTGAAAAACTACCTATTGAATACTATGTTGACCACTGGGCAATGGGAGCATTAGAAGCCCAAAGCACGGCATCATGCAATATACCCAAAAAAGAGACCTGCAAATGTACCCCTGAATCTAAAATTTTAAAAGCCATAGAAGTATTTAGAAAAAAATAGATTATAGAGAAATCTCATGTACCCTTTACTGAGTTTTTTTCAATGGTAACATCTTGCAAAAGTAGTAAAATATTCCAACCAGCATATTGAAACTGACAGAGTCAAGATACAGAACATTTCCTTTCCTTCATGTTGCTGTTGTATAACCACGCTTACTATTCCCTCACCTTCTCCTATTCCTTAATTAACCTCTGGCAACCACTTACCTGTTATTTATTTCTATGGTTTTGTCATGTCAAGAATATTATGTAGCAGAATTATGCAACATATGAGCCATAAATATGAGCAAGGAAAAACAAAAAGTTTTGTGCTAGACCCTTAAAATTAGGCAAAGAAGGGGAAAGTCTCTTTAAAATCATAGTAGCAGGGCCTGGATCAGCATTTAATGCTCAATTTCACGTTAGGCCCAGTTGTCTCATTATTTAATAACCTGTTTCTCTCTCTCTCTCTCTCTCTCTCTCTCTCTCTCACGCGCGCGCACACACACACACACACACACACTAGAATTGCCATAGACGAAACGCTTGCATCTCCCCAAAATTCATGTTGTAACCTAATCTCCCGTACTGCTATAGATTGAATATTTGTGATTCCCTCAAATTTATATGTTACAACTTTAAATATGATGGTATTAGGAGATGGGACTTCTGGGGAGGTGATTAGATCATGGGGATGGAACCCTCATGAATAAAGTTAATGCCATTACCAGAGAGCTCCTTTGCCTATTCCATCATATGAGTACACATGAAGAGATAGCCGTCTATGAACAAGGAAGCAGGCCCTCATTTGACACCAAATCTGTTGGTGCCTTGATCTTGGACTTTGTAGCTTCCAGAACTATAAGCAGTAAATTTGTATTGTTTGTAATCCACTCAGTCAGTGGTTTTAGAACAGTATAAAGATCAGGGTTTTATACACATATACACACACATTTCAAATACATATATTTCAAAGATTTATATATATTAAGAGATATACTTTTTTTTCAGAAGACCCTAAGATATCTTGTTCTCCATGATATATATCTGACCAACTATCACCAATGACTACATAACCCTCCTCTTCTCTGTCATTTTTTGACCAACTGGATTCTTTTACTGATTTACAGAAGATCATGAAGAACTTGGTTTCTAGTCTTAATCACTAAACGTCTTGACATCCTCCAGATAGACTTCAAAATCCATGGAGGCAGTTCCTCCTCCAATACCTAGATCTCTGCTTCTGAAGCTTCTTGGCATTAGAGGCTGATCACTTAGTGATTCAACTTCCTGTCACACTGCCAAACATGTGTAACCACACCTTTTCTTTTCTACTTTCTACTTTCTTCTATTAGCCTTTTTCCATATGAATTAAAATGTATTCAAGTGTCTCCCATATTAGAAAAAGGAAAATTTTTTTAGCTTCTGACTCCCTCTTTAATTGCTAGCATAACCTCACGTGTTCCCCACCCCCATCGATTCAGTTTCTCAAGAGTCCTCTTCCATACTGTGTACACCTTCTCTGCTACCACTCACTCCTCAGACCAGTGCTTATTTTGTTTCTTGGGGTTATATCACTAGCAACTTTTTTTCTCACTATATAGCTCATCCAAGGAAATGTCACAGACTACAATGACTTCAGCTGCCATTTGCATTCTGATGTTTCCTAAATCTATTTTTCTAAGCCAGATCTTTCCCAGCATCAGATCTATATATTGAAAATCTCCACTTGGTTGACCTAAAAGGACCTCAAACCTGGACTGTTCATATATAAATCCATCATTTATCTTCCAAAACTGTTTCTCCCATTCTGGTTAATACTTCAGTAAATGATATCACCAGTCATGCAGTTGTACAAACCTGGAAATGTAACTCCTGGTCAAACTTACCTCTTCACCTCCCGCAGTCAATCACTATTACTGTCAATTGTAGCTCAAATTCATTAACTTTTCTCCATCCTCATTGTTAGTAGCTTATTTCAGGCCACCATTACCTCTCACCCAGATCACTGAACAGTCTTTATTTTGTTATTTACCAGTTATTTATTAAGCATCTACTATGTACCAGAGACTGTTCTAGGAACTCGTGATACCAATAAATACTTATAAAAATCCTCAACTCCATAAAGGTTGCTATATACTAGGTCAAGATAGACAATAATCAATGAACATAATAAATGAGTAAATTATATAGTCTTTCAGAAAGTGAAAAGTGCTAGTGCAAAAAAAATTCAAACAAGAAATAATTGTATGGTAAATTCAGTCCTAGAGTAAAATGACTGGTTGTTGAAGATAAAGGGACGTTCAGGAAAAACAAGAAAGTTCAAGCATGTCATGAACAGTGTGAGTAAGTGACAATAAGAGGATTTATTTAAAAACTCAAAAACTCTTATATGATCAAGTTGTCTATGATTAAAGAGAAATTATAATGGTCTTTCTAGAGATTGGGTTTGATGTAGAAAACACACACAAAAGAATAGAATTTGCTAGAACAATGAAATTTTCTAAAGGGGTTGATTTATTCTTAATAAATTATAAGAGATTTAAATTGTTTTATTTTAATCCAAAGTTCAACTTTTATTGTATCTGATGGGTTTTGGGTTTTCTCTCCCCTTTTAAAAGGCATGGAATAGTGACACTACCCTTCAATTCATTTTCAGTTCATAAAAGGTTTTTTTTTTTTTTTTTTTTCTTGCTTGGGTTCTGTTTTTTGTGGTCTGACACTAACAATATTTTCTTAAAGGTCTAAAGGAAATGTCTTCTTCCAACATAATATTCTGTATACTGGAAAAGGTCTTTTATTTTGCCTTTTGGTAGCTGGCCTAACAGATTTTAAGTTTTATCAAAATAATTACTATGTCATTATTATTAAATTTGGTTTGCTCAGGAAAAACTGAGATTTAAAAAAAAAATTTAGTTAATGTGGTTACATCCTTGTATCTTCCTGTATGTACTTTTAAAGTCCTTGTGACATTGATATACAGGGCTTTGACTTCTGGATCTAAAAAGAACACCAAGTCCTGCTAAACTTAAACACTGACAGCAATTAATGCCTCATCTTCAGGCCTGGTAGAAGATACCAATCAAAATTTACTGCATTTCTGAGACACAGGGCCAGAAATTAAAGTTATTCAACTCCTCAAGGCCCAGGGTCTATCTTGAAAGAGGTGGGCATGTGAGATTGTAAGGGCCAATTTTGAAAGATAAAATAAGTTCAGTTTCTCTATAAATTAATCATTAATGTCAAAGGCACACTGATGCAAGACCAGCATGTGTGCCCTTATGTCAAATTAACAAGGCTCAAACTGAGATTTCAGTAGTTCTGGAGTATGGCTCAGGAATCTGCATTTTACCCACAGGTATACATACAGGTATTCTAGGCAGAAGGCTCCCAGACCTCTCTTTGTGAAACACTAATATTGGTAGTGAACGGGACCCGAGCATATAAATTAAAAGTTACCAGCATAGAGGAGAAGAGGATCAGAGGAAGAAATCTAGAGAACATATACTTATAGAGCGAGCTCTGAGGGTATTTTTTTTAACAGTTCATACTATTGGCTGAATGCCTTAGACTGTGGTGCTTCCTGTTTGAAGCTTGGAGATAAGGCTGCATTAGACAAAGGTTAGAGAGACGCTTTTACTTAATTTAATTTATTGCATATTTATTTATTTATTTATTTATTTTAAGATGGAGTTTCACTCTGTCACCCAGGCTGGAGTGCAGTGGCGTAATCTCAGCTCACTGCAACCTCCGCCTCCCAGGTTCAAGCAATTCTCCTGTCTCAGCCTCCTGAGAGGCTAGGAATAGAGAGAGGCATGCACCACAACAACCGGCTACTTTTTGATATTTTTGGTACAGACGGGGTTTTACCACATTAGCCAGGCTTGTCTCGAACTCCTGACCTAAGGTGATATGCCCGCCTTGGCCTCCCAAAGTGCTGGGATTACAGGCGTAAGCCACCACGCCTGACCAGAGAGACACTCTTAAAGGTATTTGGGTTCAAATGTAAAAGGAACACTAATGGCTAAACAAAGGAGTTTGTTCTGTATACTGTCATTAGTGAAAGTGTTTGATCAGGACCAGAAGATGATGAAAGCAGAGTTTTTGAAAGATTATGTTTGTACTAAATGATTTGGAAGAAAAGAAACTAGAAGCAAGGTGAGTTAAGAAAAACTTACAAAGGGAAGAGCCAAAATACACTATACTAAACTACTTAAAGAATAAGAAAATCCATGTGAAGACAGCAGAAGACTGAAACAAAGACATAATTAGTTTGAAGTCTCAAAAGCCAAGGGAGGAGGAGAGAATTTTGAGGCTGGATGGTTACAGTGCCAAGTAGTACAGAGATGGCACAAATCCATGTGCCATTTAAAAAAAAAAACAAAACAATAATAATGTATACATTGCCATTTTAAAAAGCGATAATAATATATGCATTGCCAAAGGGATTTATGCTGAACAGGGAACCCCTTCACCACATTCTCCTGCTAAAATAATATGCTTTTAACCTTTCATTCTTGCCATGATAAAGGGGATCGTTCAAATGAAGTCACTATGATGTTCTGTGAAACTCTTAAAAAGGGAACTTCCTACCTTTGTGTGGTCTTTTGAAGCCAAGTAAATAACCCAGAAAATTAATATAAATATCAACATCAGTAGTAATTTTCGAGCTGTGGCATTTGGAAACAAAGTGAGAATCCTATAAAAGAGGACAGGAGAAATAATCATATTAAATCAAATAAACACAACATGGCTCTGTACACTTTGGTTCCTCTTCAGTAATTTCTAGAACGAGGTGATGTTATCCTAGGTTTTCAAAAAGTTCCTTTATAAGTTCTATTGTCAGTCAGAAACAAAGTGTTTCCCTGAGGCAGGGAACAAAACTCTAAGGACTCCTGGTTTCTGACGCTCAGGTTAATTCTTTGGATTTAGAATCACATCACATACTGGGACTTGTTTTCTCGTTGAGATCTCAGCATGAACAACAAGGTTTTAGATTGTTTACCAGAAAAAACAGTCCCCCACTCCACCCTGCTGTGTCCTCTAGTGAGTCCTCGTCTCTAAATCTCTCTCTGATACACACACACACACACACACACACGCACATGCGCACACACCTGTGTTGTCTGGTGCCCTCTGTCCCTGGTCTTATCTGCCTCCAAGAACTTCATTATAAACCTCCCATTTACTTTTTCAGGCAGCTCGTTGCCACCTCAGGTTATCTCCTCAAGCCAAAAGAGTTGATAAACACTGCCAAAAAGAGTAAAAGTTATAGTCTTTTAAAAAGCTCAGTGTTGAGTGGTTACAATTTTAGTGTTAGTTTTTTAAACCCACGACCCCAAAAGTATGTGGCAATGAGCTAAATTATAGCAATCTTTACCAAATGTTTTTGACCAGGACCCACAGTAAAAAATAAACAAACAAACCAACCTTCCCTCCCCACAAAAATACCATGTCAAACCCCAGTACAGGACACATGAATGCATACACACACAAACACACACACACCCATACACACCCAAAAAGTCTCATAAAACAATACTTATCTACACTACATGCAATGCACTATGATTTTTTTCTAGTTACTCTTTTATTCCATTCAATTGTATTCTGTTGTAAAAGTATTTTTGTGCCCCCAAAAAACAATTTTACTATCCTTTAAAGGGTTGCCTCATATCGTTTAAAAAACACCAAATGGTCTATAGTCCTCCCCTCCCTTCCCTGTCATTAGCCTGCCAGTAAGAGTTGGAAAGTACCACACCTATAGATGAATATTTTCTCCATCATATTCTCATGTTCTCTCATAGGAATTACGGTTGTCCAGAGACTCTCCTTGATTAAAGCAGTCTTTGCATTTATTTTAGGGTTGGAGTTTCCCTATGAGCTTCATTGATCAAAAGCTGAAATGCTATTTGTGGCCGCAGCGTGCCACCTGGAATCATAAACCTCCCTTTTGATGATCTGTTCCTGCCCACCCCACACGACAGAGCCAGAAGAAAAAAGCCACGAGGAAGCTCTGAAGTTTGTTTTTAGAAACTGGACATCTAATTGCAGCCCTGGGTCACCTTCGGTTGAGGCTTTACATATTTATAGACAGAGTGCACTTCCCTTGCTTATGCCTTTGTGTGGATTAGTCACCTCCACAGTAGCAAGAAAAGTAACAGAGAAGTCAGAAAGAAGCAAAACAGAAGCCCTGAGTCCATAGTTCCTGAAGGCCTGAGAATTGATTCAGCTGGGTCCTCCCAATTTTTGGAGTGCTTTCTTTGTAAACTTTCTCTTACTGTCAACCATTTCTTTGTTTTATTTTGTTTTTTGTTTTTGCATCAGAGGCCTTGCCTGGGAGCAGTCGGCACTAGGTAGCAGGCAAGCCAGCCAGCACGAAATAAGTAGTTTTAGGGGAGTAGGCAGTACATTCTTTCAGGTCTGGGAGGGTGGTGCTGGGTGTCTGCCAGTGTTAGGATACATAGGGGCTTCCTGAGAATGGAGGCCCTCTAGTGCTGGATACATAGGTAGTTTGGGGGTGCCTCGAGCAGAGGCCTGTGCTAGGTAGTATTTTGGTCACTCCAGCGCGGGGCCGGGTGGTCTGGGGTTGGGGGTGTCTATTGGGGTCCTCAGAGGCAGAGGGAATCCAAGACGACCCAGTCTCTGTGACCACTCAGTCCAGAAAAGTTGGGAGCTGGAGTGGGTGATGGGGGTGGGTAGAGGGCAGGTTGGGGACTGGGTTTTCTGTTTTGTTTTGTTTTTTACATTTCCTTTTATTTTTTCCATTTTTGTAAATAAAACCAGTGAGTCTCTTAACCATCAAGCAGTCCAACAATGATGATTTAAACTAAATCTCAGGCCATAAGAGGAACAGCCACAGGTCTAAATCCCACTGCAACTTGAATATGTAACAAGGTAAGAGAGACTCCAAAGGAGCAAATTCTGTGGATGTGAGTATCTTGACACTACAGATATTAAGTGTTCATAGCACAATTACCAGTCAGGTGGCCTGCTACCACCATATTACATGGGCCATGCTCAGTATGCGTTGCTCTGCATGAGCATATACAGATATAGATAGATGATAGCTTTCTATATATACACACACATATCTGTGAAGTATACACATGTATATATACAGATTTATATGTATATATACAAACAAACAAATGCTATATATATACACATAGCATTTGTTTGTTTGATCTAAGCCAGTACCTCTAGCCACCATGTATCCCTCCAGGTCCATATAACAGCGTGGATACTATCAGAACTGTAATCACAGCATATTGGAGATTGGCACAGAGATTCAGTAGATAATTTTTAAAGAAATTTATTGAAAGAAAACAGATGTAGATCCTACCAATTCTTCCTCACTCCTTATAAGACATGTTCTTCTCCTCTGCCTTGTGCTTCAGTATTATGGCAGTTATAATAGAGGATCCACAATTCTTTTTTTCCAACTTTATTGAGGTAGATAGAGTTCACAAATAAAAAGTGTATATATTTACAGCATATAAAGTGTTGTTTTGATATATGTAGACATTGTGAAGTGATTACTACAATCAAACTAATTAACATATCCATCATCTCACAGTTATTTTCATTTGTGTGGTGAGAACACTTAAGATCTACTCTCTTTGCAATTTTCAAGTATGCAATAAAGCATTATTAACTATAGACATAATGCTGTACAATGGATCTCTAGAACTTACTCATCCCGTGTAAATTAAACTTTAAGTCTTCTGACCAACATCCCCTATTTGCCCCTCTCCCTGACCACCCCCCAGCAACCACCATTCTACTCTATTTGTATGAATTTGACATTTTTAGATTTCACATGTCAATGAGATAATGCAATATTTATCTTTCCATGTTCTGTGTTTGGCTCATTTCTCCCAGCATAATGTCCTCCAGGTTCACCCATGTTGTTGCAAATGATAAGATTTCCTTCTTTTCTAAGGCTGAACACCACCCAAATGTATATGTTGTATCTATGACACAATTTCTTTATCTGTTCATCTGTTGATGCACACTTACATTGTTTCCATGTCTTGGCTACTGTGAATATTGCTGCAATTAACATGGGAGTGCAGATATCTCCTTAAATACTGACTTCATTGCCTTCAGATTTATATCCAGTAATAGAATTGCTGGATCATACAGCATTTCCATTTTAAAATTTTTGAGGACTCTCCATACTGTTATCCAAAATAGCTGTACTAATTTACATTCCCATCAACAGTGTACAAGTATTCTCTTTTCTGCCCGTCCTCACCATCACTTACATTTGTCTTTTTGATAATAACCATACTAACAGGTATCAGGTAATCTCTCACTGCAGTTTTAATTTGCATTTCCCTGATGATTAGTGATGTTCATATACCTCTTGGCCATTAGAATGTCTTTTTTTTGAGAGATATCTATTCAGCTTCTTTTCCCATTTTCCAATTGGATAGTTTGTTTTCTTACTATTTGTTTGATTTCCTTATATATGTTAAATATTAATCTTTTATCAGGTGTGTGGTTTGCAGATGTTTTTTCTTATTATTTGAGTTCCTTATACAGTTTAAATAGTAACCTTTTATCAGATATGTGGTTTGCAAATGTTTTTTCCATTTCATAGGTTGTCTCTTTATTCTGTTGTCTCCTTTGTAGTGCAGAAGATTTTAAGTTTGATGTAATCGCATTTTATCTATTTTTTGTTTTGTTGCCTGTGCTTTTGGGGTCATATTAAAAAAAACTCAGTGATCATATCAATATCAAGATTTTTCCCTGAATTTTCTTCTAATGGTTTTACAGTTTCAGATTTCAGATTCTATGTTTAAGTCTTTAATCCATTTTCAGTTGGACTTTTTAATTTATATATATATATACTTTAAGTTCTGGTGTACATGTGCAGAACAGGCACATTTATTACATAGGTTTACACGTGCCTTGGTGGTTTGCTGCATCCACCCCCCATCATCTACAGTAGGTATTTCTCCTAATATTATCCCTCCCCAATCCCTCCACCCCCTGCTATCCCTCCCCTAGCTCCCCCATCCCCCAATAGACCCCAGTGTGTGATATTCCCCTTCCTGTGTCCATGTGTTCTCATTGTTCAACACCCACTTATGAGTGAGAACATGCATGTGTGGTTTTCTGTTCTTGTGTCAGTTTGCTGAGAATGATGGGTTCCAGATTCATCCATGTCCCTGCAAAGGACATCATCTCATCCTTTTTTATGGCTGTGTAGTATTCTGTGGTGTACATGTGCCATATTTTCTTAATCCAGTCTATCTTTGATGGGCATTTGGGTTTGTTCCAAGTCATTGCTATTGTGAACAGCACCACGATAAACATACGTGTGCACGTGTCTTTATAATAGAATGTTTTATAATCTTTTGGGTATATTGGGTATATACCAATAACGAGATTGCTGGGTCAAATAGTATTTCTATTTCTAGATCCTTGAAGAGTTGCCACACTGTCTTCCACCATGGTTGAACTAATGTACACTCCCATCAACAGTGTAAAAGTGTTCCTATTTCTCCACATCCTCTCCAGCATCTGTTGTCTCCAGATTTTTTAGTGATTGCAATTCTAACTGGTATGAGATGGTATCTCAATGTGGTTTTGATTTGCATTTCTCTAATGACCAGTGATGATGAGCATGTTTTCATATGTTTGTTGGCCTCATAAATGTCTTCTTTTGAGAAGTGTCTGTTCATATCCTAACAGTTTTTTGGTGGAGTCTTTAGAGTTTTCTATATATAAGATCCTGTCACTGGCAAACAGAAACCATTTTACCCTTTCATTTCTGATTTGGGTGCCTTTTATTCCTTTTTCTTGCCTAACCATTCTTGCTAGGACTTCCAGTACTATGTTGAATGCAATGGGAAGAGTGGGTATTCTCTTATTCCACATCTGAAAGGAAGAGCCTTTAGATTTTCACCATTGAGTATGATGTTAGTTACGATTTGTCGTATATAGCCTTTATTACGTTGGAGTAAATCCTTCTATATTCAATTTTTTTAGAGATTTTTTTCTCATGAAACGACATTAAATATTGTCAAATGCTTTTTCTTTATCTATTGAGATGATTATATAATTTTTGTCCTACAGTCTGTTAATGTGATGGATTACATGTTTAGATTTGTGTATGTTGAACCATCCTTGCATCCTAGGGATAAATCACACTTGATTATGGTGAATCATTCTTTCAATGTGCTATTGAATTCAGTTTGCTCGTATTTTGTTGTGGATTTTTGCATCTATGTTCATTAGGGATTATGGTCTATAACTATCTTTTCTCCTAGTGTCCTTGTCTGGCTTTGATATCAGGGCAATGCTGGTCATCTAAAATGAATTTTAAAGTATTCTCTTTACTTCAATTGTTTGTAAGAGTTTGGGAAGAGTTGGTATTATTTCTTCTTTAATGTTTGGTAGAATTCACAAGAGAAGCCACCAGGTCCTGGCTTTTTTTTGTTGGGCAGTTTTGTTCATTGTTTTCTAGGCTTGTAGTTACTTTGTGCCATTCTTTCTCTCTTGTTGCCTTCTTTTGTAATTTGATTTGTGTGTGTGCGTGTGTGTGTGGTGGTATGTTTTGATTCCTCTTTATCTTTCCTGTTATCTACTACAAGTCTTTTATTTGCGGTGACGATGAGTTTTGCATAAAACATCCTATGGCCCTAAAATCCATTTAATGTGATAACAACTTTGACTATGTACAATAGGATTCTCTTCTAATGTGGAAACTAGTCTTTGTGTAGCTAACTGAAATGATTCACCTCCAAAAACACTTGATGATAAGTATGTGTCTGAGCCATATCACAATTACTGAAGCACATTTTTCCTATTATTTTTATCTAATGATTTTTGAGGGAAAATTAAGGTTATTTGATTGGAAAATAATTTTAAACCTTTTTGTTAGTCTAAACTTCAGCATATCATTGTAGGAAATGCAACATATGCATGAATATTTAAAATAAAAGACTATCAAGGCATTTTAATTCCTTAGCAGGTTTTGTTTACTTGCTTGTTTGTTTGCTTTTAAGCAATGTCCACCAGCCCCTGGAGGCCCTTTCTCTGCCTTTGAAATTTTTAATCTCATCATTATCTCTGAGATGATTTCTAGTCTTATCTTAATACTGCACTTGTGAAGATAAGCTAATAAATGGCATTGTCAGGGTGAGAATTAATAGAATTCTGGTTTGGGGATAGTTTATAGAAGGGATATGTATTCTGAAAGATTTAGGAATTCATAAAGAGTTCCCTCATGAGAAATTTGAGGGAGGCTATCTGGGGAGACATGTGGCTTCCTATCATTGTGGGAACCTGGTTTATGGATGAGGCAATGTTCAAACCTATGTTTGTGTTTCTGAGGGCTATGGGTGTAGATATATCTGTGTGGGTGTGTGCAGGGGTGTGTTTTACGTATATTTGCTATAGAG